ATATCAATTATTTTTTATAAATAATTTTGACTTATCAACAAACACCGCCTTGACACCTACAGGCTGCCAGGTCAATTGTTCATATGATACACAACACACTGTGATGTTCCTTCACATCGTCCAGTCCACTTGTCACTTATCGTCAACAATATCTAGAAGACAATGAGGTGGGGGCAGACGCCAATGATGGGGAGGGGAGCGGACACAGACGGGAACTTAGGTAACTAGTGTCAACTGTTGATGCCGGACATACACAGTACTGTATTAGTTACAATCTTGAGCCAAAGATTGAGGCAATTCCAGCGGCGGCGGCAGGGAAGAGACAGTGCTCCTGCGTCAGGTAGTTCTTCAGCAAGGGCGGCAGAAGCACAGACGAAGGCGTGAGCTGCGTGAGCGTGGAGTGTGACCAGTGACGGGTGACGAGTATGTGAGGCGGGGCAGCTGCGGTTCCTCACTCACCTGGCGGGCGTCACGTCATGGATCCAATAATGGCATTACTTAAGACGTCTTAACTGCACTCCTACAGCCTCAACCTTGGGTGGCGTGTGCTCTTATTCCCCTGAACCTATATATACGATCTTCCACTAGGACAAAACTGTCACAGGTGAAGTCTTACATAGTCTTGCCTACTTAACAACTTTCAACAACACTGGTATAATTTAATGTGCTAAAACACGTAAGCAAACTATTCTTCTCAGTTCAGATATTCTTCACTAATAATATTTCACCACACAACACTTGCGCCTGATGCCTCCCTGTACTTCACACAACGCTGGTAACCGACACAGGCGAGTCCATGATGTTCATGGCGGCACAAACACAAGTTGGCAGACACACACGTCGGGGGAAGTATGAGCCACTACAGGAGCAACAGAGAGACACGTCAGGGAAGCAGGAGCACCAATGACGCACAAAAGAGAAGCTAGTGTCGGTGCACTCCTGACCATTAGTGCTGCGGAGTCAACAACACCCGGAGAAGTGGCGACGGTCTGGTCGGGGGAGGAAGGTGAGGGCGGCTCCAAACACACTGAGAGAAGGAGGAGGTGGGGGAGCGGAAGGGAAACACTGGGGGGTGGGGGGTGAGAGACAGCTGAGACACGCGGTTACTGGGGACGCGCTGGGGGAGGGTGACGGTCACGGGTCAAGAAGGAGGGGTGGGGTAACAGCTGGAGGGTAATCATACAGCGGAGGAGAGTAACCTCTTAAGTAAAATGTTACGAATTTCTTAAGGAGTCAAGGTGTCAAGGTGACGTTGGGGGAAGGTGTGCTGCGGCTGCCCAGGGTCGCCCTCACGCTACCATAACCATAGGCCAATGTGCAGAGATGGTGGCAGTGGGTGTGGAGGGTGTGAAGGCGATAGCGAGGGTGACAGGCGAGGGATTATGTGAACACATGGCAGTGAACACAACACAGGACAACGTCTGGGGAGGCAGGCAGGATGACGGTGATGAACGGAGAAAGGGTCGTGGGGTCGGGTGAGTTGGGCGTCGAGCTCTGTCTGGTCGGGCGGTAGGCTTATGCTGGCTCCCTCCCTACCTTCTACATTCTCAGACATCCCACCATTTCTTATCTCCATTTTCCTTTATTCTCTTCAACTAATTTGTTCATCTTCCCACCCCTCTTGAAGGCCACCTAACTCCAAACGACAGGGTGTTCCACTTAATGGTTTGATGGCTGCATTTCCGGTTGCATTCTTCGCCGGCAGCCTACGGCAGCCAACCACAACACATCTATCATAGTTTCTGGTCCCCAGACACAGTGACTGACGAGTGACGAAAGCCAGCCCTGGCAACCACCCCTCAAGTCACACACCTCACAACTCTTAACGCAAGCACGAGAGAATCCTGCGTAGTGAAGTGAAAGTTAGTAGTGAGGCAGGAGGAAGTAATTACCGGCCGTCCGCTCCTGTTTATGACAGTTGGTGACCAGCCGCCCTGACAACACCAGCAGCTGATGGCCCGCCTAACCCACCACCTCTCACGCCTCCACAATTATTCACGTCATACACTATTTATACAATATACCCACGTGTCTCACTCACCATCTTGGTCTCCCAGCAACTAATCCTCTCTTTTATATAATCATAACTTTTTGTCTAAATTTGCTTTATTGGTCGAAACCACTTTACAACTTTTAAGAAGGTTCAGTTATATGTAAAACTATAGTATACTGTTGTACCCCGTATTTATTAGTTAGTAATATGTTTGATATGAAATTACCATCGTCAAACTGGTGAAGAGGCTGGGAGAAGAGGGATGTGGGGGGTGTGGTGGAGGAGGGGGTGGGGGCAGGGAGAAGTGGGTTGGGGAGGAATGAGGGTGTGGAGGAGGGAGAAGGCGGGAGTCTTCTCAGAGTACCAGCCACGTGGTCCATAGTCTCAGGGATCAATATCTTCTACCCCACATGTTCCCTCCACTTACTGTACCCTAACACAGTCACCAAGATTCACACACCTTTAGTGACGACATCAAACAAACAATGAAATGGTCTTTGGTACACTTGCGAAATATCAGCTGAATATCAAGGGAACACCAGACACCTATTAAACTCAAGTAGTGATCAATTAACTGCCAGTGACGAGTATAGAACAAAGTGAGAGCCGCTATAACACAGAGTCAACATACGACACGCATTTCCCCAAACACCTAGTTCTTCATGACACCGTTTCATAGATAATTTCAAAGGTTAACAAATACAGTCCATCTATAAACATAAGACTCAATGACGTGGTGGACAGGTAGTAGGAGTAATAAGGCAGGATCTACTAAGTCTTCCACAGGTAAGAATCAAGTCTAAAAAAAAAAAAATAACCTTGTAAGATCAACACACGGACCCCACCTGTCACTAGCTCCCTCCCTCCTGCCGCCTCTTGGTCACTCGCTCCCTCCCTCCCTCCTGCCGCCTCTTGGTCACTCGCTCCCTCCCTCCCTCCTGCCGCCTCTTGGTCACTCACTCCCTCACGTCGTCCATCCCATCCCCTCCCCTCTCTCTCCACACACACACACACACACACACATACATATCATTAATCAAATTTTCCTAAGCGTAATTGAATTGAATTGAAACAATTTATTTAGCCAGAAAAACACAGATACAGAGTGGCTAATAATAACAATATTAACATGGCTGAGCCAGTCGAGAACCTGAGCTCTCTTTTAGGCACCTGATATATCCTATACATTTATCTCAAGGAAGTATTATGTAACAATTAGTATCATCTGCAATAGTACAATAGCATGGTGGTAATAAGAACATCTCATAATGTTACCTCGGTTATCACTTCAATGAAATACAGTGTGTAAGGGAAGGGGAGAAAAACATACCACCAATACAATGTCACGGGGTACAAATATCGGGGGAGGGGGAGGGAGGAAGGGAGGGGAGGAAGGGGGGCGGAGGGCTGTAATCCAGTAAGAGACCATAGCTGACCTTGTAACTCAACCATGTGAGGCGGGGGAGGTACTGGGAGAGAGGGCAGGGGAAGGTACTGGGGAGAGGCAGGTACTGGGGAGAGGGGCAGGGAAGGTACTGGGGAGGGGGCGGGGAAGGTACTGGGGAGAGAGGCAGGGGAAGGTACTGGGGGAGAGGGGCAGGGGAAGGTACTGGGGAGAGAGGCAGGGGAAGGTACTGGGGGAGAGGGGCAGGGGAAGGTACTGGGGAGAGAGGCAGGGGAGAGGGACGGAGAAGCCAACTGTCTACTGGTGCTTGTCCTCTCGTTAAGAACATAAGAATGGAGGAAATTGCCAGCAACACTATACCATACGCTAGTAGTGATTTAGACCATTCAATAAGGGTAATCACGGTATAAACACGTAGTTAATCATATCAATCATGACGTATTAAGCCATTAGCAAATAAAACTACGTAGAGGTCAGCAGAAGCAACTACATCACCACGTACTCAACACAGCCATGCACTACAGCAAATAAACAATGTTGTCTATATCTCCCCAGTAACAAGATATTTCGAAGCCGTAATTCAGCATCAAAATCCCTGTTATTTACATTAGTAGTTCTTCCCCACAACTCTAAGTCTTCGTTAGTATTATTCTCCTGAAGTAAAACACCTGACGACGAGGAATCACACTAGTGTTTATTTCTGGGAGACCTTCATAACGTTATACTGCCAGGTAAACATAACCCTGCAGAATGGTTACCTATCCTAAGCATTCCTATATGTACTTACATCTAAATTACCGGATGTGGACTTAAAAGACTTCAAAAGTACGCACCTCGAGTGTGTGGGATGTAACCCCTGTCAACCTTTTTTGCTATACCAATGGCTTCTCCTGTAGCAACCCCAGCTGACGACAAACCCTCGCTTCACCTTCCCACCCACATCACCCAGACACAAATTGATGCTAAAAAAAAAAGTACTGTGCTGTCTACCTCCACTATGACCCAGATTCGAAATAAACTTGAGTCGGACGTTGGCCAGTGAGACTCTTAACGAATATCGAGGATTTGTTTTTTCTCCCGCTACAGTACTGTGGTTTCCTCCTGTACACTCACTGGACCTTATGGAGGAAGGAGGGGGGGGAGGGGGGATAACTGAAGGTAGTGAAGTTTAAATGGAAGGTCATAAACCACTGTCTCCCTTATCCCACACACACACACCTAAGACTCACCTCGACCGTTCACCACCGGAATTAAAACTTGTATCATAATGTTCTTGCTATAATTTCACTTCCCATGAGACATATTATCACGGGGGCAATTATTACACAGTGAACGTCATCATCTACCTTTGACGTTACCGTAGCTTATATGACATCAGAGTAAAATAAAAAAAAAAAATTGCTTTGACGCCATCACAGAGTTTACCTGCCCCTGAACCTTCACCACACAAAATACTTACCTCCAACAATCACCATCACCCCATCAAAACTCAGTCTGGTGATCTACGAACTCCGCCAGGACACACAGGTAAAAACTAAAGATCCTCAAACACGCAGCAGACAAGAGCGAAGTTGAGAAAAATAAGAATACTCCTGTACTCACCCTCTTCGGCGGTGGGTGTAGGGGCGTCGTGGGGGTTGAAAGCCTGAGCTCCAACACCAGCAGTTTCATCAGAGTCAGAATCGTGAGTAGCCATCTCTGGGGCCTCGGTACCTTCCATTGGCTCGTCGTGCTGCAAGATAAACAACAACAACTTCATTTATTTCACCAACACAAAAGCGGAGATCAATAATAACCTACAACTCATAACTGACAAGCGGAGATCAATAAACTACAATACCTACAACCGCATTATAACCCTGATTTATATTTTAAGGGTGTCTCGGGGTTAGTGTGTACAGTTATCGCAAAAAATCAGAAGAGTATGTATGGTGAAGTGCCTCCGCTATTCCTAAGTGTATAATGTATGAAATAGTAATATACTTTGGGAGTAAAAATCTCTGAACCGCGACCTAATTGCTCATCACGTCTGGGAGGATGAGTCTACAATTCAAATACGATGACAAACCGGACACGCATCGGTTGGGGAGATAATGATCGGAAACCACTGATGTTAACGAAAGAACGAACGAACGGACGGGCGCACGCACGGACGGACACGCCAAGAATATTCTGCCTTCACAACAACACAGCCTTTAAAACCATTGTACTGGACGGATACTGTGTGTGTGTGTGTGTGTGTGGATATTTTGTTGTGTGGGTATCTTGTGGTGTGGGTATTTTGTTGTGTGGATATCGTGTGGTGTGGGTATTTGGTTGTCTGGATGTCTTGTGGTGTGGGTATCTAGTTGTCTGGATGTCTTGTGGTGTGGGTATTTTGTTGTTTGGATATCTTGTGGTGTGTGTATTTTACTGTGTGGATATCTCTCCTGCTTTGCGTATTTTGAAACCAATATCATCGCTGGGGTTAAGTGAACATGACTACAAAACAAAAACAAAAATCCTTTAACGATCCGTGGTTCAGTTTTCACGCTAACAAGAATTTTTACCAGTGGAAAAACATGCAAATTATGTGGCTAATTTGCATATCTTGACACCAATCGCGCTGCAGCCCTACAAGGTCGACCAAAATAAGTTAATCGATGTTTTTTTTTTATTTTTCCTGACAATACTGTAAATATCTATTCAACGTGAACAGGAAAAAATATGCAAATCATGTAATTAATTTGCATATTATCACACCAAAAACAATAGGGTCTCTAAGATGGCGGTGTTATGGGGTTAAACTATTAAGACACAAACACGGGTATTTATTGCTATCAGCTATCGTCGGGTGGCCCAGGTTGGATGTTCTCAGGTCTAAAGTTCTGGTCACGCAACAGACCTAGTTACTAAGGAGACTGTTGACTGTTCACACTACCAGGAGAGTTAGACCAATCAATGGTTATAACTCACATCAATACAGGCGCTGAGGTTACCAAGTACTACATCAATTACACAAAAATCCCTCACTGTATAGATCAGAAAATTCAATCTAGTCTGTGTAGGGGACCAAGTATTAATTATACTGTACAAATTATAAATGAATGGTTATTACTTATATCCCTATCCAATCTGATATGTTTAAGATATTCGCTGAACATCAAGAACCAAACCAATACAGTATATCTTCTCTAATACCCTCAGAGGGGCCCCCGTACATTAGTGGTAAATAACACTGGATCAAGTATTCCTATGTGCACTTTTTTTTACCCCAATAGCTATATCATTATAACTGAAAACTTCATAATTTACAGTAAAATTTAATATCCCAGCATAATTTAATGAATATAAATCAAAACTCAGAGCCATTATAAAACTTTAATGCAGAATTTTCGGTAAATGTTAACGATAGATGGCACCGACCTCAACGCCAACCCTCGACTACTCGGGCGGGAAAAATAAAATTATAGCCGCGGTAAAACCAGCCAAAAATCATGACAGGCTAAATATTGACGTACTGTACATTAAAGCTTATAGGGTTTTAATAGGTAAGTGTGGTACGTGCGGTATTAGGCTTCTATTTCACTATCCGCATTGCCTCCTTAACTATAACGGTACAGAGAAAAATCATAATATATCAATCTGGCCAAGACCAATGTAGCCGCCATCAACTAACTGACAGTCTCTCTTCACGTACTGAGTAACACTACACTCCTGCGTCCCTCCTACACTACACACCATCATATTTTCTGAAAACTTTGGTGTCAGAAAATCCGCCTCATTGCATATTGGGGTAATAACGCATTTAGGAGCGGACGTGACGGAAGAGCATCATTACAAAACACTGCAATAACAAGATCCAGCCATCGTCGAGGCGGAACATCATCATCATTCTGTGGGGCTGCCACAAGTTACCGTCACTGTACCGCAAGTTACCGTCACTGTACCACAAGTTATCGTCACTGTACTACAACCTACCGTCATACTGTATTAAAAACTGACCGTCAATTGGTGCCATTCACAACCTTTACCTAGCATTATAGTAGTGCCTCTCTTGTACGCACTCATGAGGCTTTGCATGCACTTGAATCATACTTGCACTGACTTCGACACCCATCAACTACTTACATATATTATACAACAAAGGTATAGTTAACCTGTTATATTTATAAACTTACTTGTTATAATTATGTGATGCATGACATTTACATTCTATTATTTTAAGTTCGGCATCAGTATGAATATTAACACACCTGGTATAGACGTCAGTATGAACATCCACACACCTGGTATAGACGTCAGCATGAACATCCACACACCTGGTGAACACACATCTAAGGCTTACCGTGGGGTTGAAGCAGAAGGGAGTGGTTGCCTCTTCCGTTTCCATTTTCTCCTGGTAGATGTAAGATCCTCCAGCAGGACTCTCGCCCTCGAAGGGGTTGTATGTGGGGATGGTGGGCGAGATGGTGTCAAACTGGTTGGAGGGCGGGGAGAAAATGGCGTTGATGGAGGACGGTGTGGAGTCCTTGCACAAGACAGCAGCCGGTACAGGTTCCGGCACCTGCAGGAGGAAGACAGACAGTGGTGGTGTCAACAAGGTCTTACTGACTTATCCCCCCCCCCCCAAAGACATGATCGTACTAAACCTGTCTGTCCTACAGTAACACTAGAGACACACCGGTAGACATCACCAGAGACAGACATAAGGCTAGACGACTGGTATATGACCACTAAAGCTGGTTTTATTTCAGAGGTTCTCACATCTTGAACCACATCACCACTACCAAGAGTCCACACGCAGCTCCCCCCAGGTCGTAAGGCAGCTATATTAATACTAACTCTGTTTACCATATTAGGAGAAATAATTACTACACTCGCCATACATTGTACATTTTTGTCTGTCTTGTTTGTTTAGAGTTAACTTCACATCATGACATTCGCCACTGAGTACACACTATAGCGCTGGTACAAATTCATGCGAAGTTTTAATCTCTGGCCTTTCACATAAACTCGAATCTGGTGACGTGCAGCAGTAAGTTTAGTTATGATACATAGTCAAGTGAAGCCTCATCATAACACATGTATCGGTGCAGAAGTTATCCTCAACACAAGAACACAGTTAGACACAGACAGCTATGTCACTAGGCACAAGGAAACTTCTTTTAACGTGACAACTGGACAAGGCAACAAGAGAGCCGTGAGTTATAGGCCTACAAGTATTCTGGGGATGATGACTGAGATAAATTACTTTTTTTTATGGGGTAACTAACTGAATATCCAAAACAATCGATATGTGATGGATCTTAAATATATAAAAAATATACCAATAGAGGGAGGAAAATTTTGCAATTTTTCTAGACTACACTATAGTCAAATACGTGAGAAGTGGAGAAGAACCAAGATGCTACGGGACTACATAACAGTAATAATTTGGGGGGGAGCACAGGAGGTGGGGGGGGCACACACTGAAGACTTCACAACATGGGGCGGGGGGGATGCAGGTATTTATGTGCCATCCAGAGGGAGTGTTTTAAGACACAAGCTGCACAAGTGTACCAACGAGTGTACCTGCTCAACCAAGCTGCAGTCACTACGCAGGAATGCACGCCGCGAATAGCCAAAGTTTGGTGGATCATGAGTCATATCGGGAGCCCGGAATTGTGCCCGCACCTCACGTCAGAAGTAACACCCTGGAACACAGCCCAGTTACACGCCGAGGGTTTAGACCAGGATACTGTGAGGTGAGGGGCTGTGAGGTGAGGGGCTGTGAGGTGAGGGGCTGTGAGGTGAGGGGCTGTGAGGTGGTGGGGGGCTGTGGAGGTGGGGGCTGTGAGGTGGGGGACTGTGAGGTGACGTGAGAAGGTTGTGAGGTGTGAGGGCTGTGAGGTGACAGAATGTGAGGGAGTATAAGGGGGTAGCAGGGAAAGGGGGACGGTGAGGTAGGAACAGTGTAAGGCGAGGTATAATGGTACACTCGCTACACAAAGCACAATGATCTATTACGGAAGACTGATGCACCTATTACAAAATTACGGGTACAGCAATGTAATATGCAACCGAGGCAACTCAGGCAACTTATAGAGAGAAGTATATGGCTAATACCCATACCCAGGGTAAGGTCACGTACCCATCCAAAGGTCACGTACCCACCCGCAATAAGGTCAATCAATTACCCAGAAGACGGTCCAATAACTACCCATATTAAAGGTCTTATACCGACCTTGTGTAAGTAAATATACAAGATCACAGAAACATACTACTACAGTACCTAGTGTTAGTTGATACTTATATACAGCATAACTACCCAGTTTAAGGTCATACTCCACACACCTTCCCAATACAAGGTCATACTCGCACATATCTACCTTAGGTCAGGTCAGGTCATGCACCTAGCCAATAAGGGTCACAAAATAAGCATCAGACAAGACTATGCGTCACACAAACGGACAGAGACAAGGTTTCACCCGTCTGGCATTGTGACCTGAAATGACCTAACACTACGATATGACTTGATCCCAACCTCGTCCTGGAACTTGGCTTCTTTGACCTGATTCAGTGATACGGAATCAACCTGAGGTGGCACTGACCTGGCCTTGGGCGATGCGCTGTGCCTCCTCCTCCATGAGTGTGGCTACGGGTCGCAGGAAGACCACAACAGCAGTGATGTTGTCCTCAGAGCCGGTGCTGCGTGCTGCTTCTACCAGACACCGACCTACACCATCAGTGTCACCTGTAAATACAACGAATAGCCGTCATTAAACCGACTCACAACACAACACATAGTTACATGACTACCACACACACACACACACACACACACACACACACACGCACACACACACACACACACACGCACACACACACACACACACAGAAAAAATAAACAAATAAGTAAATAAATAAATACAAAATCAATAGCCTGATATCAAAACAAAATCAATGTCTATTTTTTAGCAACCCTTTAACATTAATATTACGCTAACCATTTCTTCATGAACAGTATTTTGGCTAATGCTCTGCTCTATACATAAAAGTTAAACCTTAAAATAAACAGACAAAAATACCACAGAAAAGTGCGTTAAGGGCAAGCAGACCAGAGACTAACAATGCCATGGGGGAAAAAAAAAGCTCACCTAACTCCACCATATATTTTGGGAAGAGCGACAAGTATTACCCGCCTCTACCTGCACGCAGGAACATGACTACCACCACCAACCAACCAACCAACAACCACCTCATTAACCAACAGTCTCAAAATAAGAGTTGTGGTAGCTATAAAAATCTTGTTTTCAATAATCTTCCTTCGGTTTTTCTTTCGTTTTTTTCCCCAGAGTCAATAAGGAGGAAATGTAAGGGGAGTAAAGGTGAGGAGTGAGAGAGAGGACAGGAGGAGATAGAACGTCAGCCAGTCCACCACAATGATTGAAACCACCTTCACCACCACCACCGCCTCGGCGCCCCCTCACACAGGTGTATCTTAGGTTAATTCTGGGGCTTAAGTCTGCAAATACAATAGGTAAGCCTTCCGGATGACCTGGCTTGTCTAGTTCTATGATGAGAGAGAAAGAGAGAGATTAACGTGGAAGGATAGTTGAGGCAGCAAGAGGCACGCAGAGGAGTCACCGTGAGGCATGCGGTAATGTCAGTGTGGAGCTTCAGCTTGAGGGGAAGTTTGGCAGAGCTAGCGATGACAGCCACCTCAGGAAAACACGTGCCACTGCCTGTCGCCTCCAGAACACACCGCTCACCACCTCACATCACAGATACAAATGATAAGCGTAGCAGCCTCTCTGCACACTGCCCCGCCCCTCCTCTAACAGTCAATCACCTACTACAAATGTCAAGGTACAACCGAAGTAGCTACAGTTTCGTTTATTATTTTTCTACAGATTACCGCACCCAAGCAGGCCAAAAATTACCTGGATGTCTATGCAAGAGTAGTAACAGGTGTTAACATATGTTTCTAACTCGGGGACCAAGGGGGAAAAAATCAAGAACCACAACACCATATTGCCCAAACCATACACACTGTACAGTACACATCTGACATTATACCTCTGAAGTATCTTCTATATAAAATTTTAAATAATTTCCAATATAAATATGAAATGTATATTGTAAATTCTTCCTGCAATACGATAGTGCCAAGATGTGGGGGGGTAAGGTAAAAGGCTTACCTGCACTGGCACACGTGCGCCACCCGGTGCTTCTCAACGAGGAAGTTTAACATTAAATACTCTCTAGTCAGACCTAATCGCATATTGCCCCAGTGGTTTTAAAGAAACGGAGTTAATGCTCGGGAATCATGTGCTTATGATTAAATGAATAAAAATATCAGTTTCCTCCATGATTCATACAATTATTGGAATGATCATCACGGGACAGCGACGTCTTGGCCAGCTATCACCGTAGACAGCTAAAGGCCTTGGGTGTATATTCAGATTTACTTCCAATTAACCTGTTATTATAATATCTAGTGCCTGCGTCTCATTTGTTATGGTAAGTATGATGAGACAGATAGTTAGTGTACTTTGCATTTGTCAACGAACCTCTCAAGGCCTTATATAAACTAACATATATCGACCAGTATTTCCACTTAGGCACTAATGGCTTCATTTTATCACACCCAATTTTTTTTAGTTGCCCTTTGTATTGAATCCTAGATTGCTGGTTTGCATCCCTAAGTTCTCTGCACCCTACCAACCCACCCCACTAGCCAGAGAGAGGAAGCCTTGAAGACACTGTTTTACACACACACACACACACACACACACACACACACTTCCGATCAGTGTGATAAAGATGGTGTCAGAGGTAGACGGGCATCACCAGACACATACATGGTAATCTGTCAAGCCAAGTGGTATTCACGAGGCAGGCCAGCGGTGTGCGGACACCCTGAGATAATTAAATTAATGAACATTACTTAAAACTTATTAGTGTCAATGAACGAGGTTAGTAAAACGACGGTAACCTCACATTATATACATTAAAAGCAATAAAAATTTACGACGCAATTTAACAGCTAAAAATGTCAGTTTCTTGGTAATTACAGATGGTTCTGACTGTATTGATATACTTAAGGTTGGGTACAGCTACTCAACCATATGTAGTCGAGAGTACTAAGGCCGAGAGAGAGAAAAAGTTTGAGTATCTGTACTATAAATTTAAATAAACCTTTCGTTACATAAGAACAGGAGTAAGGCAAACTTTATACACATTCATTATATAAAGTAATTACTATTCAAAGTGATTAACTGATTACACCTATGACCTAAAAATACGTCATAATTATACGTACATAAATATTTTTTTGGCCTGTCTTTCCATAAGCAATACCAAGCTGTACACTATAAATCGATTATGGGTCGTGTTCCAGGGTAAATGGTCTTCTCGGATCATTCCTTTTGCGACACACCACTCATTAACTCAGGGTGTGGTTGTTGTGTTGGCGACAGCTTCTACGCCTTTAGCAAATTCACACCAAGGTAGCCCTATTGGTCGGCCATCATCGAACAAGAGACCACCATTATTATATTAAGGATGGCGTAGAAGAAACTTTTAAAACAACCAATAACGTCGATTCAAAATAAAATGTCAAAGGAAACTAATGACAACATTCACTAACTTGTTTCACTTGTTTGTATCGGAAAGTTGTGTTCTTATCATAACCCTTAAATAAGTAAGTCGTTCTTATCATAACCCTTAAATAACTAAGTTGTTATCAGCCACGTGACAGTGTTGTGCTCCTCAGACAGACAGACAGACAGACAGAACAACAAGAAGCCCCACAAGACGCACTCAAAAACGTACACCATGTAATTATGTACAACTTTGTCCAGTCACTCATGTGTACTCTCCCTCACTCTCCCCCTTCCATACTCTCACTCTACACCTCCCTCTCTCCCCCACAACCATTATTTTTTTTTCTTCAACATGGAATTTCTTTTAAAACTCTCTCCCCCAGTCCCTACTTCACACTACTGCCGGCTGAATTGGACTTTATATGACCGTCCACTTACCTCACTACTGCTGGTGAGGCGGACCACAGTATCAACCATGTGCGCCAATAACACATAGGTCAGGTCAGGTCAGGTCAGGTATAATGTATCACAGTCCTAGTAAAGTTGAGAGCGGTGGTGTAGTAGATAGTGAGCATCTCCTGTGTCCACCACCGAGTGCCTGGACCACCTGGAGCTATCATGGCCAACACCAACCTGGCCAGATGACCACTACCTCCAGGCTCCCCTTACCGTTGTTCATAACTACACCTACTACCACCCACCCACTCTCCACCACACAGACAGACACACAGTAACTGTCACTATAATCTACAGAAAACCGGAAATGAACTTGTGTTGTTGGGTAACCCTGATGACCTGCCTCAACCCAGATTACTGTACCATAACCTTAGCAAACCTACTTAGTCTAGTCAAGACAGTTTCGTAAATACCAACCCTGGCTGACTAGACGACTGTGTGAGTGACCTAGCTGACTCACTGAGATAATTTCCTGACTAGACCGCAGCTTAATTAATGGCCATGTCTTGGTCACTCCCGTCTGTTTATCATCTGCTTCCTTCTTAAGTCTAGGAGTGAGAGTAAAGCCGTAGTGGTGCATCAGCTGGGGAGGGAGTCAATGTGTAACGGGGGTGAGGGGAATGACATTAACGCCTGTTGACATACCCACTCCACTTTCCCTTCCCCCTCCCTCCTGCACGCACACGCACACACACACACCCCTCTCCTCTACAACCTCCTCTTACAGTCACCCCTCCACCACCTGACACATACCCCTCCACCACTTGACACATACCCCTCCACCAACTGACGCATACCCCTCCACCACCTGACACATACCCCTCCACCACCACCTGACACATACCACTCCTCCACCTGACCCATACCCCTCCACCAACCATACCTGACATACCACTCCTCCTCCACCTGACACATACCCCTCCACCAACTTCATACCTCCACCACCTGACACATACCCCTCCTCCTCCACCAGACATCACTGATCTTACTCTACAGCATGTGAGTAGACGCCTCCTCCACCCTCACCAAGCCTCATAGAATCCTGACTTACATGACTGTGAGACACATCAAGTGGTAGCCCCCCCCCCCTTTCCTCGAAGCAACTTGTTATTAAAGATCCGAGCCAAGTCAAGGACACGTCAGGCGACACAGTTTCGTATTAAATCCTGGATAAACTTCAATGTTTCCTCGCTTGAACAGAACCCAAACTACAATTCTCTTCACACGCATTGGTCAGTAACTATGATCAGCGTATCTCCTTCAGAGCGTCTGTTGACAAGGGAGGAGTATATTTAGCGGTGAGTGGTGTTGGGGCGGAGGGTGCATGGGGTGTGGCGCAACAGGCAGGCCGGCCGGCGCCCCCCTTCCTCACACTCCCACAACCACCTGCACTAACATCACCACACAATATTCCTGCTTCACTGTCTACAACATCCACACACACACAACATTCTTGCTTCAATGTCTACAACATCCACACACACACAAACAACATATTTGCTTCACTGTAGACAGTGTGTATGTGTGGATGCTGTAGAGTACACACACACACACACACACTTCACTATCTACAACACACACACAACGCCAGTCTCCACCTCAACCTACCGGTACATCACACCAGCACCACAACTGTCATTCTACTTGAGCCATACAGTACGTAGCACTCTCCATCACGTCTTCCTCCCCC